TTTTCATTTTATTGATGGTTTCTTTTGCTGAGCAGCTTTTTATTTTGATGTAGTCCCATTTGTTTATTTTTTTCTGTTTCTTTTGCCCTAGGTGACGTATCAGTGAAAATTCTGCTACATGAGATGTCTGAGATTTTGCTGCCTATGGTTTCTTCTAAGATTTTTATGGTTTCATGACTTATATTTAAGTCTTTTATCCATTTTGAATTTATTTTCTTGTATGGTATAAGTTGGTGATCTAGTTTTTTCCTTTGCCTTTTTTTTTTTTTTTGCATATACCGGTCTAATTTTCCCCCCACCATTTATTGAAGAGACTGTCTTTATTCCACTGTATGCTCTTGTCTCCTATGTCAGATATTAATTGAACATAATAGATTGATTTCTGGGTTCTCTGTTCTGTTCCAATTATCTCTATACGTGTTCTTGTGCCAGTACCAGGCTGTTTTGGTTACAATGGTTTTGTAGTATAATTTGATATCTGATATTATGATCCCTCCTACTTTGTTCCTCTTTCTCAAGATTGCTGTGGCTATTCGGGGTCTTTTTTGGTCCTTTTTAAAGGAGAGAGAAGAGGCAAGGGAGACCAAGAAACTCAAGATCAGGGAGGAGAATACTCCTTTCATAATTTATTCAAGGCAGGGTATATTTTGTTGCCAAAGTGTTTTAAATGAAACTGAGTTGCATGTTCTTCTCTCCCCTTTTCAGAATGAAGACATTTGTCCTTAAATAGAGATAGAAGGGCACATGTAGTGTCTCTGGGTACCTGCAGGATATGTGTGAGCTTTGGGACAAGTGTTGTATTCTTATCTCTTCTCAACACTAGACTATGAGAAAGAATGTAAAAAAAATAGTATAAAAAGTCACTTAGGTCCTAATAACTTTGAGCTAGGTAATTTTGAAATTTTACCTAGCTCATAGTTATTTTAGAGACTGAGATTTTAATAGATTTTAATAGACATATTCAGTTAATTCTTCAGAAGTGTTTAAATCATCTAAGACTTTTGTTAAACACTTTATCTAAAAGCCCTCAGGTAAAGGTCAAAATGCAAATATCTAAGGACAGGACATAATTATGAAATTACAAAAATTCAGAGTTCCCATAAAATCTGTGAATTTTATCTAAATGTGTTTCTACGGATAAGCAAAGCAAGGCTGAGGAGTAGAACAGAATAAACACTTGAAATTGTGCCAGTGGTATTATTAATGCACAAATCACTTTTCAGTTGAAGTAGTGGATTCTCAGAAGTAATCAGAACACACAGTTTGTGCTAATAACAATACACTGTTAGTTTGTACCAGAAAAACTACAGAGTACCTGGAAGTGTTCCAGTAACTGCCAAAGCAGTAAAAATAAATAAATAAATAAATAAATAAATAAAAATTCCTGATTCCATGCCTGAGAGAACTGGATTTTATATCCTCTGTTGTATAAGATTTGCTGCCCTAATGCAGGTTTATTGATGCATCATAAAGATGGGAAGGTTTTGTGTTTTTGTTTGTTTGTTTTTTAATATATGGCATAAAAATTCAAAGTTCCCAGTATTTTCACTCACCCTTTTTCTTTTGTTGTTGTTGTTAATCTTCACCTGAGGATATTTTCCCATTGATTTTTAGAGAGAGTGGAAGGGAGACACAGAGAGAGAAACATCCATGTGAGAGAGACACATCAATTGGTGCCTTCACACAGGCCCTGACCAGGGTTGGAGATCAAGCCTGAAAGTACATGCCCTTGACCAGAATTGAGCCTGGGACCCTTCAGTCCCCAGGCCGACACTCTTTCCATTGAGCCAATGCCCCAGTTTCCCCCCCATATATTTTACCTGGTTTTCTAGTTGTTTATGGTGGGAGGACAATTTCCATAACAGTAATCCTTTGTGGGAAGACACAGAAGTCCCTTGTAGTATAGTTTTACATTGGCTTCTCTGGGGCTCCAGACATTAGCCATTTTTATGGGAACTCTTGGCTTAGGATGCTTAAACCATGTGGTGCTATAAGTGTGGATCCCACAAGTATTCAGTACTGGCTTGAGGAATCGTTAACTTTGTTTTTCTACCCAGAACCACCCCCAGGCAGATGGCAAGTTTCCATATAGCTTCTCCATGTCAGTTGGTGATACTGTTACTATTCCCTTTTGTGTTTTTTTACTACGCTACCCTTTGTGCTCACATCCTTGTGCAGAGATGTTGGTATGAAGCTCCCCATTATGAGCAATCTGAGTTCACGCCTCTCCTTCTGACGGGTATTAAAACTCTAGCCCCAGGCCATAGGGGCTGTAGCTGGGTAATATTATTTTTGCATTATGGCATCTGTGCATATTTGATTTCTATGTACTTATAATGGCTTAGAAAATTTATCCTAGTAAGTAGCTTAGTTTTATGATTCTGACTTAAAATGTTCAATGATTGTGATTTTTATGTTACAGCCTTACTAAGTTTATCTACAAAGAAGTACATTTAAGAGGACTCAAATTTTTCCATATTTATGTACTTAATTTTATAGGTAATTACAGTTATTTAAGGTCTTGCAAAGTTTTTGTTTGGTAAGTCAGAAAATAGTACTTAAAATGGAAAGAAAATATATTAATTTATAAATACAGTTTAACAAGTTTTAATTTAATTATACTATAAAGTACCTTCAGAATAACGTTTCTCAATAGATAGATTTTTAAATGTCAGAAAATAGTACTTAAAATGGAAAGAAAATATATTAGTTTATAAATACAGTTTAACAAGTTAAAGGGAATTTAATTATACTATAAAGTACCTTCAGAATAACTTTTCTCAATAGATAGATTTTTAAATGAAAAAAAAAATGAGATTTTAAAGCTCAACTTCAATAATTTAGGAAGCTCTAGATTTTTAATTTTATTACTTTAATATATTGAATATTAATTTTATAAAACTAAACTCTGAAGAGTCTTTTCTGTGCTCCCATATAATCCTCTGTGTACCAATAGATCACATTTAGCAGGTCACAGATTCATGAATTCTTATGTTAAAAGGACCTTCGACATCAAATTGATAGATGTGTAGTTTTAGTTTTTTTTCCCCTGTAGAAACAACAGCTTTTTATCTAAGCCATCAAATAATAGTTTATTCAGTTTGGTCATTATAATGGCTGAAATAATTCTAATAACCACTTTATTGAGCTATGAATACGAAAGCCATTTTTCTCCCTCACCGTTACGGTGTTCCAGAAAGTCTCTGCTGGATGGCGTGCATCTTAGTGATCGTCTGCTTTGATTTCCTAAGCTTTCAAACAATTTCAGAATTTAGAACACATTGTTTTAAATGCTGTTGTTTTTAATCCTCCCCGAGGATATGTTTCTATTTGTTTTAGAAAACGAGGAAGGGAGAGGGAAAGAGAGAGAGCAAGAAACATTTATGTGAGAGAGAAACATCGATTGGTTGCCTCCTGTAGATGCTCCGAACAACCAGGGATCAAGCCCACAACTATGTGCCCTGACTGGGAATCAAACCTGAGACCTTTCAGTGTAGGGGATGATGCTCCAACCAACTGACCCACACTCACCAGGGCTAGAACACATTGTTTTAAAATTGTGCTTTTATTGGATTCAAAATCCTTCTTGTTTTCTCCCCAATTTGACTCCAGTGGCATGGAAATGAGGAATGGGGTAGTGGGTTCTGCTAGCACATACCTCCCTCCCCACCTTCTCCCAACACTGGGACTCTGCTGTTGGTCTCGTGAGGGGTGCATTTAGGTTCTGTGTAAAGTCTTAGGGGCCTCTCACCTGCACAGCTCCTTGACACACAAACCCACCCCTACTTCATCCCTTTCTCCTCTCTCTGCTCCCAGGCTGTGTCCACTTTCCTTCTGGGTCCCCTTACCCAGAAGGAGCCTCCTTGCTGAGGGAGGGAGAGCTTTAGACTGCTTAAGGTCAGCGGCCCTCCATTGCGTCCCCTTGACTCTCAGGGATCTCATTACTTGCCATGCCTGCTAGTGACAGTACAGCATCTCTCTCCTGCCCATGTTCAATGTCACAGCAATAGCTTGGGGCACTTGGCTGGACAAGGGAATTGGCAACAGTCAAATGAGATGCAGTTTCCAGTCCAGAACTTTGCATAGGAGAGGATTTTAGGTGCCCCTTCTAACAGTGTAAGAGAGTCTGTTGTCCCATTCCTGACCCTTGACAGGAAGAGGGAGAGAGTAACCTGTTTTCACCATTACTATTTTCCTCCAGTGGTGTATGAGCAATTGTGTGTGTGTGCGCATGAGTGTGTGTGTGTGGGGGGGGGGGGGGTGTGGCCGAGATTGGGACTAGGAGTTGGAGAAGAACCAAATTTTCTAAAGCAGAATGCTGCCTGTAGGCATGTCCTGCGAAGAGGAGTAGGCCCCAAATCTGGCAGTTCTCTGAATTTAGAATGAGGGCTCTTTTTTCCTTAGTCACCAATTCTAGCACTAGACATCCCTGACCCCTTTTATTATCCTTAATTGACACAACTCATTCAATTACTTTGGGTATCTTAACAATGGAATAAATTAATTGTCCAGTAAGATAACAGATGTACAGTGACAGAGCAATTTCACACCTCTGAACCTCAATTGACCTTGGGTGACTTACCTGATGTTACTCTGAAGGTACTGCTTTAAACCCAAAGGAATTTAAATCAGAAGACGAGCTACAAGAAGCGACAAGAGAGATGCAGCAAAGACCCAAATGAGCAGCCAAACAGTAACAATGAGAGAAACACTGATGAAGAAGAGAAAAGGTGTGAGGACTGTTTATTAATACCGAGAAGGTTCCAAATCAAAAGACCGCCAACCGAAATACACACCACTATCTCCACAACACACGAACATACTGGTTTGCTTAACAACTAGTCTCGTTCTCGATAGGATACTGGAGCATCACTGCAATCTACATCCAAACTCTGCTCCACAGCACATTCATCTGCTTTCTGATCATTATTCAGTGTCCCTCTTTTTCTGGTCTTTTGCTTAAAACCCTTTCCTAATGATAAACACACTGATGGTGAAATCGATTGTCTCCGAGCCATACTTGTTCTTCACAACCAGCCCGTACTTGCCGGAGTCGGCAGTGGTCACCCCGGTGACAGTAAAGAAGGCCGTCTTGCCGGCTTCGAACCTGAGGTTGCAGTGGTCATCCGAGTCCAGGGACTTCTCGTTCTTCAGCCAGGAGATCTCCGGAGTTGGGTCGCCCCACACGGTGCAAGTGAGATTAAGTGTCTGAAAAACAGGTTTTATGAGAGGAAAGGAGAGATATCAGATATAATGATGATCCAACTTCAAAGTTCTTCTGATGGTGTGGCATGACTCAATGGAGGATAAAGATAAACCTCCCGGATCAGGGTTTGAACTTGTTATGTATATGCACCTGTGTGAGTTACAGTTTGAACACAAACCTGAGAAGGTTTCTTAGGGACTCGGATTTGAGAATGCTTTTCCAGATCCCATCTCCATTTTCACTTTCATAAACACATAAATAGATGCCTTTTACTCTAAAATGGCATTTCAAACTCTGTCTCAGTAGAGACATCTCATTGCCATAATCACCACCTGCTCACATGTGCATTTCAACTGCGTCACAGAGCCCAGCAGCAGAATCCTAACGGCTGTTTCAGATAATGTGACTAATTTTCAAATTCCATTTCCTTGTTTTATTTCTCCCCCAGACTCTACCCAATCTGTTTCATATACAGTTGTAATAAATAATAGATCCTGTGTACCCTTACCCCGTTCCCCCCATAGTTACATTTTACAAAACTACAGCATAACATCACAACCCGTACACTGACATTGTACAATCCATTGATCTTATTTAGATTTCCCCAGTTTTACTTGTACTCATTTGTGTATGTGTATGTTTACTTCTATTTAATTCTATCACCTGTCTAGATTCACGTATCCACCACCTCCATCAAGATACAGAACATTTCCATCACCACAGGATCTCTCGTGTTACCCTTTATAACCACCTCTCCCCACCTCCCAATCTCCCAATCTCATTCCTAATCTGTCTTCTGTTTCTAAAATTTTCTAATTTCAAAAACATTATATAAATAGCATCAGACAATATGTAACCTTTCTGGATTGCCTTTTCCACTCAGCATAATTCCTTGCAGATTCATCCAAATTGTTGCAAGTAACAATGATTTGTTCCTGCTTATTACTGAGTATGTGCCATGTTGTGGTCATATCTCTAAGGGTTATCTGGCCCGTTTTGGGCTATTAGGAATAAAGCTGCTAGAAACATTTGTGTACAGGTTTTTATGTGAACATAAGTTTTAATTTCTCTCTGGTAAGTGCCCAGGAGTGCAATTGCTGGGTCATATGGTAAATGCATGTTTCATATTTTAAGAAATTGCCAACCTGTTTTCCTGAGTGGCTGTACAATTTTGATTTACATTTCCACCAGCAATGTGTGAGTGATTCAGTTTCTCTGCATCCTCACCAGCATTTGTTGTCACTATGTTTTATTTTAGCAATTCTGATGGGTGTGTTATGGTATTTCAATGTGGTTTTAATTTGCATTTCTTTGATAGCCAAAATGTTGAATTTATTTCACATTTTAAATTTAATTCTCGCATTTTTTTCTTCCTAAAATCCAGTAATTATAAGAAAAATAACTAGGGCACACAGGGAAAAGGATATCCTTCTAAATGTCCTTCTATAGAGTCTTACATGACCACCTGTGATCTCTGCTATAAGAGTATCTTTTAAAATTGCATAGATTAAGAAATCTGTTTTCTTTCCAGGATTAATTAGCATTTCTTACTGAATTATTCTACAAATACATTTCAAGAAAAATATGAGTCAACCTATTGCCATTAGTCTTCTCCAAGTGGGCCAGGTTTTGGAAACTGTGATTACTTGGGGGTTAAGACTTTTAACAAAACCAAACAAAACTAAGTACCTTAGATGTTACGGAAAACTATTATCCATACTCTAGATTTGAGTTATAGATCACAAAGTATTTTCACATACACACTGTCTCTTAATTTTCACTATGACCCAGTGAGTTGCACATTTTGAACCTCATTAGGTGAGGAAAATGGAAAATAGAGTTTAAAACAAAAGCAACCCTGTAAATGGTTGAGCTTAAAGTAAACTGTAGTCATGTTTCACTACGAAGAAACAGGTAGATGAAACCTACCTCTCACTAAACTTTAGATATACCTTGTTTTATCACTCTAGTTCCAATCACCCATCATATGTCTTCATTATCACTTTGAGGTGAGAAAAGGTTTTATTCTACTATAAATACCCATACCCCTATGACTGGTATATTAAACTTGTTTTTATTGATTTTAGAGAGAGAAGAAGGGAGATGGATGGAGAGATAGAAACATCGATGAGAGAGAAACATTGATCAGCTGCCTCCTGCACGCTCCCTACTGAGGATTGAGCCCGAAACCTGGTCATGTACCCTGACTGGAAATCAACCGTGACCTCCTGGTTCATGGGTTGATATTAAACCTGTTTTAATGAAACAGGGATGAAGAAAGAGAATACAGGTTAGAAATTATGTTCATTGCTTTTCAGAGATTATTATGGAGCCAGGTGATACTAATTTAAAACTTACAAACAGAAATCAGTTTTCAATTGAAATAGAGCCTATCAACATTCATGGAGCAGCATGTCTCCTTTGAAAGGTGAGGTGTTTAATAAGACAGCCCCTTTGCCACTAGGTGTTAGAAGTCACTTCTTTCTTCAATTACATTTGTCACGTAGTTATGATTGAACATTTTCTACTCCTTGTGATTTTAGAGGGTAATTCTAGAAAGATACTAAGTGGTCTACATGTGCCCACATTAGACAAACTTGCATCCTGATGCTTGGCCCAAAATATTAAGATGATTGGAAAAATGGCTGCATTTTGAACCTTGTATTGGCTATTCTGAAGTCAAGCATAAGCAGCCATTGCATAGGATGGTATGTATCTTAAAAGATAGAACAAAGTCTGAGGCACTGGAACCCATTCCTAGTGTGGAAGAAGCAAGGACAGGAGTGCTCCATGCTTACCTTGCCCTCCTGGATGGTGACCACATCGGGGAGACCACCCACCACCCGGGCGCGATCTGCAAGAATAGGCATTTCTGGTTAATCACTGAAACATTGAGCATCAGCGATCACATTCACAAAACCACCCCAGGGAACTAACTTTCCAATTTAGTCTCCTTCTCCTTACAGTAACTTTATACCTGCTTTTAACATGCAAAATTAAAAAATGGTCCAGTGATGCTGAAATGTTAATCCTTCTTCACACACATATTTCATGAGTGCAGGAGCCTCTATCCGTGCCTAAAATATCAGCTTGAGATCTCTTTGTTGGATCAAGACCTGCTCTATCATTTTCATGGCTATTTTCAGTCCTGGCCCTTCTGCAGCTCAGTGGGGCTCAGCTCGAGGAGGCAGAGCAGATCACTATGGACAGCCTCCAAGCTCAGTGTGGCCTCTTTCATGGGCTTCCCTATGATGAAAAAAGGTTGCATAATTGGAAGTGTTATGTCAGGGAGATCTGGCGGTTTGTGCAGACATGGGCTTTCTTTGAGGCTTTCCCTATAAACCTTCCCTTTCTCGTATCCTGATAGTTCTTGGTAGCACTATGCAGGGCTGCTGTCTATGGCCATGAGTATAAAGGCTTCAAGGTGAAGGGACAAGGTGCTGAAATCCAGGGCTGACTCCCTAGCTGAGCCATGTATCCTGTGTGTGACTGCTCAGCCCCAGGCAAGGATGCCTTCTGTAATTCACTCAAAATCACCCTCTCTGATACCAATGCTGTGGCTGCCGCTGTCTCATTTGTAGGCCTACTTCATGAATGTGTAGCTCTTGATCCATATTTCTACAGTTCCCTTCTCCACTAAGTCAGGCTAAAGCTTTAGCTGAGTGTTGACTGCATTCTCCCACTGATTTCACTGCACCTTATACCACTTAATAAGCCCAAGCCATCATCTGGGTCCCTGTGCCACTTGCTGTGTGATATTAAGCGTGTTACATCACTGTGTGGACCTCAGTCTTCTCATCTATAGAATGGGGGGAGGGTTGGATTAGAAATGTGCACAGAGTCCATGGGATTCCTCTGAGGGGGCTGGAGAGAAGGTCAAGATGGGGTATTGAGTCAAGGAGCCAATGAAGATAACTCTGCTTTGACCTACTTTATATATTGGGTCTGTGTGGAAGATTTTGTGTGAATTAAGTGTTCCATGGCTTGTAAAAGTTTAAAAACACGGAGCTAGAAAAGCTCTAACATCTCTTCCAGCTCTAAACTGCGGTGACCCAGTGATCTTAGGAAACTGTTCATGAACTCGAGGGAAGGTCGGGCTTCTTGCCCACAAGAGAGTTCAAGAGTGGGGCGTGGCTGTCAACTGCTGCTGCCTCGGGCTTGGCTTTGCTTGTGTGTCTGAGTGGGAGGGACATACTCGGGTGCCAACAAGAAAAACTCCCTGCCCCTGGACACTCCCCACAGGCCCCTGGTGCTGCCGTCTGCCCTATTCAGCACCAGCAGCCACCTCACAAGCCAGGGCCTGAGCGGGAGAGGGAAAGAGCAGAAGGCGGAGGACAGCAGCACACGGCAAAGGTGAAAAGTTCCATTCTGAGTCGCCTGGAGCCACTGCGAGGCAGACAGATGACTTCACTTCCTACTCCTTCCCCTGCTCAGGCCCTTTCCACTCCAGCTCAGGACAACTCGAAGTTTTAACCCTCAACATTTTTCAAGTCATGCCTCCCTCACTGCTAAAGAACCAGAGTTATTATGATGAATCAGTCTGTGACTTGTGGAATGCCATAAGACTGAGTCCTTCTCGAAATCTCTATGTGTGAAGCAAACAGTTGATAGAACTCGTTTCTGGGTGGACTTGACAGTTTGGTGTGTGTTCTCCGGGACTGTGTCCAGTGAAATGAAAGGGAGGCCTTCCTTACTGGGGGCTGTCTCTCCTAGGGGCTCTCGGGAACACCTGGAGTGCTTGTGATTTACCTCATGTAAACGTACGAAGGTTCTCATTTCTTTTTTTTTCTTTAATGTACCCAAATGTTTCTGATACGCTGTGCCTGCTGCAGGTGATTAACAACCTATTTTATGAGTTGCAGCCTGGAGATTTTTCCAAATCGCTGGCTCAAGTTAAGAGCTGGGTGACATTCCTATACTGTAACCTGAGACCTTCTTTTCATAGACATCCTTACTCAAGAGACTAAATGAAAACATATGTAGAAGGCCTAAGATTAAAAAAAACGAGAAAAAAAACTACTTTTACTCTTTTCCATCTGCTGTTATAATAGAAAATAAAAGTTACATTTTGAAACTATGCTAGGAATAAACAAGAACAAGGTTTACTTACTTTTCTCGGCAATGGCAGCTTGTCTGTGGTTGAGAGAAACAAACACACACACAAACAAAGAAGAATGTGGCTTTAGTGGTGTTTCAGAGTAGTTAACCTTGACTGTGTCTCATTGCCCCACAGACATTCTGCTGTTCAACAAAGCAGTGGGGAGCACTGGTTTCACTGCCCTTGTCTAAAGGAAAGCCCCTCCCTGTTATTCAGATGGGGGAGCAGCACGCAGGATGTTCCGGAGAAATTAGTGCATGCACTTGGCCTTTGCGAGGCAAAAGAAGACTTACTTTAATCTTTGGAATTCGGCAAAGGCTTCCTCATAATCTTTAAGGGGAAAAAGAGAAGTTAGAATTTGCTCAGCCAGAATTGACAACACAGAGGGGCTGTTTAAATTCACAACATGAGGTCAATGTAATCAGTGCAGATAAAAATAAGCTGACCCTGTGCCTATGTGTTCACTCTACAACTTGATGGACTTAAGCAAATACTTTCTAGGTAGAAAATATGAAATAGTGGACTTTAGAAGTTCTCAGTTCTGTGAGAGGCCTTCAACTCTTCAAACGGGAAGGCCAAGAATTAGCTCCACCAAAGATAAAAAGGGAATAAAGGTCTGTTTCAAATAAAAGTTGGTTGTCTAATAAGCATCCTGAGCTTCAAATAGGCTTTTCTCTTATTAAATCATCCCACATGCCATCGCCTCCTAGCTGGACAGTTAAATGTTTCTATGTCCCGTGGTCTGGCCCACCTATTTGTATTAAAGAGCACAAGGAATTCCTGCAGCCACAGCGCGTGCCCGTGCTTGCCTGAAACAATGCTTCTCTGTCGTGCAGAGAAGAGATAAAAGGCGAGCGAGACGTGAAAGGAGAGCTACAGAGTTCTAAATAATCTGTTTCCCTGAGACTGCAGGGTGAGCCACTTTGAAGACTTCAGCTGAAAAGGCAACTTCGTTTTGAAGTCTCTCCCACCTTGCCTTTAAAGAGCCTCTGTGGTCTAGGAATCATAATATTGCACAGAAAACATTTATATAACACTAGTCCACCCGCTTCCTTTTCCAGATGGAAAAATGAAAGCATAAAGCCAGGCTTAACGTCTCTGGAGGTAGACTAGTTAGGCTAAACCAGGCTAAGAGTTCAGTACTCTTTCTGCCCATGCCAGACTGAGAGAGTCAGGAACGGGCGAATCAATCTGTGTTGGGTGGCTGTGTCCGGCTGTAAGACAATCCACAGCCTTTTGCTTAAGGGGGACTTGAGAGCAGGGTAGTTAAATAAGCCCTGATGGGCCAGAGGGTAAAAGAAAAAATTTTTTAAGTTTTAAATCTATCCATTTCTTATTTTCCTTTTTCTACTGTGTTTCAAAGTATCCAATGGTCTGCAGAAGAAATCCCCTGTCACTGTGGGATGTGACTCAGGCACAGTGTGGCCCTGAGAGTGTAGCCCCGGGGGGCAGCCTCTCATTCCCTACAGAGACCCTTCAGCAATTATGGTGGGCGGGGCAAGGTTAAGAGACATTACAAAACCACTCAAGGCAGGGTTGAAAGACTGTTCTCTAAATTATGAATCTACTCTCTGAGGATTAAAACACTGAGAGCTATTACATATTTAGGTTGCATTTTTTTTTTTTTCAGAGAGGAAGGGAGAGGGAGAAATAGAAACATCAATGATGAGAGAGAATCATTGATTGGCTGCCTCCTGCACACCCCCCACTGGGGATCAAGCCTGCAACCTGGGCGTGTGCCCTTGACTGGAATCGAACCCAGGACCCTTCAGTCCGCAAGCCGATGCTCTATCCACTGAGCCAAACCAGCTAGGGCTAGGTTATATTTTAATATATGAAGAAGTGGAAGAAAAAGTCAGTCCCCAATCTTTTCTGGTAACTTCATACAGACTATTTTTTTAAGGAAATAATAAATAAGATGAAGAATACAGTACTAGGAGAGAGAAATGGCACAATGTTTTTAATTTTTTATTTATGACTGTATGTTTTAACTTTTTAAATTTTAAGTAATAGCTACACATCGCCTTTCTTCTATGTTCTTAGGTGGAAGCCCTTTTTCCTCACCTCCTGTGACTTTCTTCTCTTACCTTGTCTCTCCAGAACCACCCCTCCACCCCCATTCTTTCAACCGATAACCATAAGGATCCAACTTTCCAGCTTCTTTCTGTCCTCAGTATTTGTCATTGCTTAGTCACACTTATTCCCACCCCTGCCCTGGATCTCCACCCTTCCATCCTTCTGAACTCTGATACATCAATTATTTCCTTCACTCACATCTTTAGTCCTTCCAACTCAGCGGATTTCTTGGAATCCACGAACATGATCACATTTCAATCCTCATAAAAACTATGCTTTTCCAGTGTTTGTCCTTACTCAAGTGATAGTAAATCAATCTGCCTTTCTTTTGTACGCATCTTGAAAGAGTAGTGCTTACTTTTCAATGATTCTCCAACCATTGAAATTCTTGACTTCTACCACTGTGGTTGAATTTAAACTGCTTTACTAAAATCTCCAATCATCTTCCAATAGGTAAGTGTATTGACCTCTTATCACCCTTCCTTCATTATTTTTATTTATTTTTTTTTTATTTATTTTATTTTTTAATATATTTTTATTGACTTCAGAGAGGAAGGGAGAGAGAGGGAGAGATAGAAATATCAATGATGAGAGAGAATCATTGATCGAACCCGGAACCTGAGCATGTGCCTTTGACTGGAATCGAACCCGGGACCCTTCAGTCCGCAGGCTGACGCTCTATCCTCTGAGCCAAACCACTAGGGCTCATCCTTCATTCTTTTTTAAAAGCCCACTCCTCTATAGTAAGTTTGAACCTGCAGAATATCCATTTACCTTGTCCAGAAAGATCCACTGTCTTCTGGTGTCCTGTTTTGCCATCAAAAAGCTCCATTACATATTTCCCTTGGTCATTCGGAGTGGGCTCACTGATTTGCAGCCAGATCTGCTGCTCCCCGGTGACTCCGCTCTTAACTCTGTCTGTGTACTTAATAGCAGTCCCACTGTTCAAATCAAAGAAAACATCATTATTGTTTGCTTTCATCCAGAGCTGACCTTTACTTTGTCTCTTATTGATGGTCTTACCATAAAGTTTTACAGGCTTTCAAATAATATGGGATCCACATATGGTCTACAGCTTCAGAGCAATGATGGGCCCTGAGTCACTAAACTTGGATTTCAAGACCCAGGGTGAAGGGTGAGGGAGGGCCTCTGAGAGGCTCACATTTAACTCACAATAGCAGTCTGGGGCCCAGGCAGATTGCAACATCAATACTTCTCAGTGCTATTAATTATCTTTTGCTTGGGCTTATTTGTAGGACTAAGGGAATCTTTAAAGTGAAAAGGCCAGGGAACATATTATGTTATTGTATATTTCATACAGATGCTCTATGAATATAAATCGGATTTTACAAGCTAATCAAAAACAGACCTAAGGAGGTTCACATGTGGCTGGCATCTATTGACATATGTTGTTAGAAAGCTATTTAAAACACAAGTAATTATGCACTAGTAAGGCCAAGAGTGAATGAAAAGGAGAGTTGCTGCCAAAATGAATGAGGCACCTTCTCTGTCCCTGGATGTGAGTTTCGCAGTGTTCTACAGTAGGTCAAGAGCAGACCCAAGCATTGTGTTCTTTGCAAGAGAATACAAGCAAATAGAACCCTTTGTTTTGTGATCTGAGGATCTAGAAATGTCGCTGTTATAGAGGAAGTAAGAGAAAGGTAGAGGTAGATGTACTCTCAATGATGTTAAAAGTAACTTCAAAGAAATAAGGGGAAAAGGCACTAGAACTACCTAATTTTATTAACAATTATGCAAAGAGAAAAGACTAAGGTATAATCCCGAAATGTTCATAATATGACTAGGAAAACTATGGATAATATCATATTATAAATACTTTCTAACTTATAATATGATATTATAAATGTATTTTCTAATTCTGTTTATAGTTAAAATATGCAAAATAAACTTTAAAAAAAAACCTTGAAAAATAAAAATCTCCACCAAAAAGTTTGTTTTCAAATAGTCAGCTTTTTCTTATACAGTACATTCTATAAAAGATATTAAAATGAAAATGCCATAAAATGTAAGACAAAGGAACCTATCTGTATCCATAGACTTTAACCTGAGCAATATATTTGTCTTAGAGAGCTAGAAAGAAAGACAGTTCTCTGCTTTGCTATAATAAATGTTTGAATTCTTTAATCTCTGGCTAACATGCATAATAGTACCTTAAATTTGTAAAGCACTTTATGGTTTACAAAGTGCCATTAATTTCATTCATTTGTTGGATCCATCAGTGTTATGAGATAAAGCAGGTATTATTCAGTGAGATTCAGAAAATTAAATAACTTGCTTAATATCAATGGAAAGAGAGGAGCAATGTCAAGACTAAAACCCATTTCAAGTATTTTTTTCATCATGTCACATACCTACATAAAAACAGTGAACACAATCCTTGACTCTTGAATCTTTCATAGGCAGGGCAATGTCAAGACTAAAACCCATTTCAAGTATTTTTTTTCATCATGTCACATACCTACATAAATACACTGAACACAATCCTTGACTCCTGAATCTTTCATAGGCAGATGGATACAAAAAAACATTTATTTAAATGACTAGTAAACCAAGTGATGTAAGAAGTTTATACCTTGTTAGTCTAATAGCAATTTGTTCAGAACTCAGTGTTCTAAGTTTTCTGAACAAGTAATTCTTTTAGAGATGATGTATAAAGCTTTTTGATTGATGATTCAATTACCTCATTTTCTCTTATTCTTCAGACTGATATATTAGAATGTCTTAGATGTCACAGAGGAATTTCCTGGAATTTGACCTATTTTAATTTATACTTTCCTACAATATATTCTGAAAGAAATTGGATAAAGGAATGAAACCTCAAGATTTCTACATTGGACTTTCACTTCTCATTTTTTAAGAATTCAGGAAATTAATAATAATAATAAATAAGACACTGTTCTACATAATAGGAAAGTCATTTTAAAGAAAACACAAATGGTTGTTTTGCGGGACCCAGCTCTGGTTAAATGTTAACCAAGACTTCTAATGCAACTTGAACACAGGGCCAGTGCCATGACAGGGGGCCTCTGGAGCCAGGCTGCCTGGACTGAGCTCTCCATCCACCACTTTGCTGTGTGACCTCAGGCAAGTCACTCCCCCAGCCCGAACTTCCTCTTCACTGAAGTAAGAAGTATCTCCTCCAAAGAGTTGGGTATGTTAAATGAATTCATACATCTAAATGGCTTGGAAGTACCAGGTACATTGTAAATGCCCACTGAAGGGAAGATATAAACATTGTTATCTGTGTCCTCCTGGGGGTGCCGCAGTGACCTACTGCTCAGGGGGTCTCATCGGACTTGGGGAATGAGTGTCAGCTGCATCCTTAGTGTGGACTGAAGGCGGCTGTGCCCCATCAGATTTCTCTGCCAGGCTGCTGCTCTCTTTCAGCTCAGGAAATTTCAAGGAAGCACAGAGGTTAGGATAACATCCACAGTATAAATGGGAGAACTGGTTTGACTTACAAACCCATTTTGGCTCTTGGAATCCCAGAGGTGAACCTGAATGGAACCCCTCTAGAACTCCACAAAGGAAGCCGAGATCAGAACAGATCTTCAGGCTCAATTCAGTTCAACTACATTTTCCCAAAGTGATCTTGAGATCTTCAAAGCCTTCCGAGGGAGGACAAGAAACATGCTAATGACCAACTATGCCAATTGCTATAAACAACAATAACAAAGCTGGGCACTTCTCAGATTAGGCTTCTTTGGTGAATTAGGCCACTAATTAATATAGTGGGAAATTTAGTGTCTCTTGGTACATGCTGCTTCAGTTTTGTTCCAGATCATAGCATGGGTAGCTGTGTGTAGAAAGAGAGAATCAGCATCTGGCTCTGGACACTTGCAAAGCAGAAGGAGCCCAAACACAACCGTCTGGAGGTGGAGGTCACATTATAAAGATGTGCACGAATTATGGCACTTCCCCGGTCACAAAGACAGGCTCCTAGGCCTCACCAGTTTCACCCTCTATGTGTTGAGGCAAAGTGCTAACTCACTCAAAGGGAATAGCCTGGGTGCTTCTGTCCTATACTCATCAACGTCAGGCCTGAGAAGTCAGAAGACTCCTTAGCTGAGAGTACAGAGAGTTGCTGTTGTTTTTCCAACTTTTTTTCCCTTCACTTCAATGGAGAAGGAATTTCTACACAGCAATTAAGTTCCCATTACTTACTTGTGGGACCAGTTAACTTTCAGGTCATCCAGGTAGTAGGTAACAAGAGAGTACAGCCGGATGCCCTCAGCCGTGCTCTGAATTTTCAGGTCTGAAGCAGACAAAGCTGAAAGAAGAAAATAGCATATTTCATACACCTGTAAACCCATCCAAAAGAATAATGAAGCACTGTCATGGTGAGAACATTTTAACTTACCTATTTTTTTACATACTTCAGTCATCAGTTCTTGAAAGGCTGTGGATGGAGATTCACAGACAAAGCTTTAGCAAAGAAATGCTCATTTTAAGGAGTTATCAGCATTGTGCTCTCAAAAATATTCTCTCTGGTGGAGGGTACTGGTCACAAGATAAATTTGTTGACCAATTGAAAATAAGTGTTCTTGGAGTGAATAATTCCATTTTTATCAAGTTGTAAAAGATCCTTGCTCTTATTTTGATATTTTCCCCTCCAATTCTCTAACTTTCGTCACATTTACATTCTAGAGAAAGAGCCACAATAAGATTTCCAGGAAGTTTCTTGGCTTTAAGAGTCTCTTCTTCTTAAGTCCCAGGAAGCCTTAGTTCCTATTAGAGGAAGTTTTCTTATCGGTGTTATCAATTCATAACACATTAACCATCTATAAATCTGATATTTTGCAGCCTAATAATGTTTTTTTCCAATAAACACATTTAGTCCTGTCTCCACCAAGAGTTAGGAAGGTGAAATCAAAGTCAGACTTCTGCTCTTTGTTAGCAATATTGTTAAAGATCTTGTTCAGGAACAAAATTGGAAGTTTGTGGGTCACATATAGGTCTTTGCTATCATGATGTATTATGTCCTTAGTAGTCTCTGAAAAGTGGAAATTACTTTCATGCTCTGCTAATAACTTAGAGGCTTAGAGGTTCATATATAAATCTTTCTTGTCATCATTTAAGGGTGGATTATTTTGCAACATGCTTCTCACAGTTTTTGATCCTGTAACATTTTTTATAGGGTTGAAACAGAAATGATGATTTATATTGAAAATAAACCCCTGGTGGACTGTGGACTATAAATTCTCTGAGGATCAAAAGTACACTTCTGATTTCTAGGGGAACTTAGAATGAAGTATTTTTCAATATAACAGTAGTTCACTCTGCTGGGATTTCCATTAAAGCAAAATCTGTGGATAAAAAAAATCAGCATGACTTTGATCACCAGCTCAGTCTCACTCATAATTCTGGTAACCTGTATGTAGAACACACAAAACGGACCCCAGCAGCTGCTGGACTGACCTTCATCCACAAGCTTCAATCTGCTCTTATCTTTTCCTCTGTCGTCTTTCAGAATAACTTCATAAATCCCAGCATCTTTCTTGGAAAACTAAGGAAGGGATACATATACCACATTGTAGCTTATTGTGGCCTCAGAGTTGGTGTTTGCATTTTTAAAGCCCTGTTATTTATAGAACTGCCATCAAAACACACACTGAACAACATTTAACCATGTGAGCAATGAATAGTTTGCAGATAAACCTATCCATTATAATTTGACCTAGCAGTCCTGATTTTTCACCCTCTATGGCTATAATTGATTTGAGACTTAATAAGTCCATATCTTTTACTCTGCCTTCATATATTTGAAAGGTATGCTCTTTTAAACAAAAAGGAGATAAAAATCTACACTTATATGAATACTATTCTGATTGTACTTTTAGGAAACAAGTTATCGTTAGGCTTAAGAGCAAATGAAGAAGGATCCACTTAACTCCCAGCTGATATTGGTTGGATATGTGACAAATCCATGCATATCACAAGGTGAGAGAGGCTTTTGTGTTCCTACAGCTTTTTAGATGAAGTCAGGGCACGGATTTTTGGAGCAGTTAGAAGTAAGATACTACAAATGCCCAGGACAAAGGAATACAGAATCTAGTCTCTGGTTTTGGAGAGAAAGTAGGGTGCAGAACTAATGTATTACATTTTACACTTATAGTCACCTACCTCTGTTATAAGCAGGGTACATATACCGTCCTTAAAGTCATGCTTTTCATCCACCGATATCTCCCTTTCATCTTTATACCACAAAATATGGGTCTCCTTCTTAATATTTGCCACCTAGAAGAAAAACCATAATTATACTTCTTGTAATAAGGGAATGCAACTCTTATGAGTAGTTGTTAATGTGGCATCAGATAGAAGGAAAAGCACTAACCTTAGAGTTAGAAGATGCTAAAGGAATTAATTCAAAGCAATTTTAACTGGTAAAGAGTTTAGAATAAAGTGAATACAAATGGATAAACCTAAATCAGTAGCATCTTTATTTCCAGCAGTAAAACTTGACTTTAATAGTTCTAGTGGACAAGAAAAGAAAAAATAGATACATACACACTAACATACAGATAGACTTAAATGAAAATAAAGATCTGAAAACCATAGGAAGACAAATCCTATCAGATTATAGTATGGTCTGTGTCACATGATAAAACAAATGGCTTATCAAAAGAACAGAACAAGTAAGCCTCGAAATATATATCTAAATATTTTTAAAAAGATAAATGAAGCTTTGCAAAGAAATTTGGAGGGGGATTATGTTTAAATTTTTAAAAATAAGATTACAAATTTTCATCTGTTTGTTTATAGTTGTATTTCCTCTTTGGGGAATTATAAATACACTAGAGGCCCGATGCACAAAAATTTGTGCACTCGGTGGGGGGATGATGGCTGTTTGCAGCTGGTCACACCCCCTTCAGGGTGGGGGTCCCCACTGGGGTGCCTGGCCAGCCTGGATGAGGGGATGATGGCTGTTTGCAGCTGGTCACACACCCTTCAGGGTGGGGGTCCCCACTGGGGTGCCTGGCCAGCCTGGATGAGGGGATGATGGCTGTTTGCAGCTGGTCACACACCCTTCAGGGTGGGGGTCCCCACTGGGGTGCCTGGCCAGCCTGGATGAGGGGATGATGGCTGTTTGCAGCTGGTCACACACCCTTCAGGGTGGGGGTCCCCACTGGGGTGCCTGGCCAGCCTGGATGAGGGGATGATGGCTGTTTGCAGCTGGTCACACACCCTTCAGGGTGGGGGTCCCCACTGGGGTGCCTGGCCAGCCTGGATGAGGGGATGATGGCTGTTTGCAGCTGGTCACACACCCTTCAGGGTGGGGGTCCCCACTGGGGTGCCTGGCCAGCCTGGATGAGGGGATGATGGCTGTTTGCAGCTGGTCACACACCCTTCAGGGTGGGGGTCCCCACTGGGGTGCCTGGCCAGCCTGGATGAGGGGATGATGGCTGTTTGCAGCTGGTCACACACCCTTCAGGGTGGGGGTCCCCACTGGGGTGCCTGGCCAGCCTGGATGAGGGGATGATGGCTGTTTGCAGCTGGTCACACACCCTTCAGGGTGGGGGTCCCCACTGGGGTGCCTGGCCAGCCTGGATGAGGGGATGATGGCTGTTTGCAGCTGGTCACACACCCTTCAGGGTGGGGGTCCCCACTGGGGTGCCTGGCCAGCCTGGATGAGGGGATGATGGCTGTTTGCAGCTGGTCACACACCCTTCAGGGTGGGGGTCCCCACTGGGGTGCCTGGCCAGCCTGGATGAGGGGATGATGGCTGTTTGCAGCTGGTCACACACCCTTCAGGGTGGGGGTCCCCACTGGGGTGCCTGGCCAGTCTGGGTGAGGGGCTGAGGGCTGCTTTCAGGCTGGCGGTTGTTGACTGAAGCTCCCAACCGCTCCTTTTTTTTCTCTTTTTTTTATTTTATTCTGGGCCAGCTTTAGCTCTGGCTCTAGCTCTGAGGCTTCGTATCTGGTTTGTTTGCCATTCTATAATCGAAACAATGTATAACTTCAGCTCTGAGATCCCGGCAGGCTGAAAGCTGGTTTCTGGGGTTTTGTTTCACTTCTACATTTGCAACATAGTACATAGTTGCTTAGAGTTGCATTTGAGAGGCTGGCAACTGAGGCGAGGAATGTTGGAGTCTGCAGCAAGCAAGCCTCCCTGCTCGCTTCAGTGCCTGGCTGCCGGCCGCCATCTTGGCTGACAGTTAATTTGCATATACTCACTGATTAGCCAATGAAAAGGGTAGCGGTCGTATGCTAATTACCATGTTTCTCTTTTATTAGTGTAGATTTGTCCAGTTATTCAGTTAATCATCTCACTATACATATATCTAATCATTATGTTGTACACTTTAAACTTCTGGGTTATATGTCAATTATAACTCATTAAAAACAAGGTTATTCAAGTTTTAAAATGTTAAAACATTTTGGTTAATAAAATAAGAACCAACACTGGTAACAACATAGTAAAACCAATACAAATGCTCTTTATGATCCTGTAAACTGGTTTCTGAATTATAGAACGTGTGTTGCTAGGCGACATTGCTTACAATAGAAAGTACTCCTGATTGGAGAGCTGCATCCCTCCCTCCCAGGACTGGAAATGGACCCCATAGCTTTGGGCTTCCCCGAGTGTACTGATTCTTGTAATTTGTGCATGTCCCTTGCGGGGAACCTGGAAGCTCTGTCTAGGGAGTTGTTACAAGGGGTATGGGCTCCTTGGGGAATGAGGTATTTTAAAAGCTACGGTGTTTCCTATACCTGACCAAAGCGGATCTTATCTCCTTGCAACTGAGCTGTCATCTGGAGGTGGTGCTTCCAATATGCACTCCTACCGGAGAGGAATGCCCCGTACCGCCCTGCAGGCAACCTGGGGTTCTTACCCTATATTCTTTTGAGTAGACTAGTTCCAAGTGGGGCCCATGATAGTCCCATGAGTCTGAATGTTTGGCTATGCATTAACTATAATGAATATGTAATTGCCAAATGTACGTAAATTGCTATAATAATGCAACAAAGAGCTATGAAAGGACAGGAAGGTTCATTCTACCTAGACTGAGAAGGGGAAGGCTTTATGGAAGAGATGACTGACATGGGCCTTGAGAAAAGATTTTATCAGAGAAACTGAAAGAAGGCAGCCATTTCAGACATTGTAACAACATCAATACAGTATTATGAATATTCAGAACCTCTTTCTAGGCTCCCCTTGACTGTCCAGAATCTGGGTAAGAGGCTAATTCTCCTGAGGAAAGCCATCAGATGGAACACTAGAGCTCACTGCCCAGAAGGCTACTGCAATAGGTAGCACAGAAAGAAGGAAGATGGACATGTGGGTCTCCCTGGTTTATGGGGTAGGCAGTGTGCAGGAGAAAGTCAGTAGGGGGCAACATGGAAGTGGACAGCTAGGAGAAGAGGTAGTGAGGGTTTTAGCTGCTGCCTGAGAAATTGTTTTTTAAGCTTTGCCATTTCCTGAGAGGATAAAACCTAGAATTTATTTTTCTTATACATTTATGGTAGACTGCTGTCTCTTTAAATTTCATCAGACCTAGAAGAGACTGGGGCACTTGGATTCTGGCTTTTATATGACAACTACATGCCAAATGCCAAAGCCTCACTTCTACCTTGGAGTACCTGTTCACTATCACAACCTTCACACTTCAACTTCATCCAGCGGAGTTCCTTATCCAAAACATTTTGTTGACTCACTCAGCTGAACACCACCATGTGCTAAGGTACAAAATAATTCAGGACGCAATGTGAATTGTTTCTTCTAAATCTTTCCAAAGGCCTAATTAAACAATTGATTCTGGGCTGCAAACACTTTACCTCTCCCTCATGGCAGCATGGTGGTCTCCAAACCAGTAGCAGAGCTGGCCAATACACAAAAGTACTATCGTACTAGTCACACAATTTAGATAGGAAATTGCTAAATTTTCATGGAAAGCAGTGTAGCTGGAATGATTCTGGAATAGATCTACCACTTAAAATGTAGATTTGACCTAAAACGAAGACAATGTGAGATTCTTCTGAGATTAATAATTTAAAAATAAAGGGGGTGTGTTGAACAGGTGGAGCACAGAGGCTTTTGAGAGCAGTCAAAATACTCTGTACGATACTATAATGGTGGACACATGTCATTTATACAGTTGTCCTTGTCCACAGAATGTACATCAAGAGTGAAGCCTAATGTAAACTACAGACTGTGGGTGATAATGATGGGTCAGTGCAGGCTTATCAGTTGTAACACATGAACCACTCTGGTGGGGGATGTTGTCTTTGGGGGAAGCTGTGCATGTGTGGGGACAGGATGTTATATGGGAAATCTCTGTACCTTCCCTTCAATTTACTATGAACTTAAAGCTGCTCTGAAAAAAAGTCTTACTTAAAAGCACACACAGAATAGTCTGTCCTTATTGACTAGGGTGTGTGTAATGAATAAGAATGATCATGTTGCCTTCCCATATTTTTATGTTGTTTTATGTTAAATGTTTCTTACAAACCAACCATTACAGTAACATTCAGCAGTAAGGATGTGTTGCTTATCATTTGGTTCAAGTGGAGGAGATGAAAAGTTGATCTTCCTCTTCTCACATTCTATTTTATCTTTATTTCCCTTGTTTCAAATGTTAAAAATTTATCTACTTCTTACCTTACACTTCAATAGTACATTACATTCACCAGTCACTTCCCAGCTCAAATACTCAGCAAAATGTGGACCTAGAAAATATTAATAATATCAGTGATCACTCTATTAGTCATGAAAGCAAAATCAAAGCTCATTCTATTTTTTTTAATCCTCACCCAAGGATGTTTTTATTGATTTAAAAAAACTTTTTTAGAGAGAGACAGGAAGGGAAAGAGAGAGAGAAACATGAATGTGTGAGAGAAACATTAATCAGTTGCCTCCCATACTCGCCTGACCAGGATCGTAACTGCAACCCAGGCATATGCCCTGACCGGGAATCAAACCTGCAACATTTTGGTGTTTGAGACAATGCTCCAACCATGAAAGCTCATTCTTAAATTCTAATGTGATTTATATTTGAAGTGAATTTTTTAAAATTCAAGATTCCGTTTTGAAACATTTTAGATGAATACCTATTTAATAATAAATATTTTCAATTATTTTTTATTTGTAGCCGTATTAATAACATATGTAGTAACATTGATTTTAATTTGTTGTATAAATAATCTTGGAATATTTTGTTCAAGAAACTGAAGCTATTTCTTTACTCACTGATTGTTTTTACCTTGTTTCCTGATCCATTCTTGCCTCTGGAATTCAGCTTCTTTCTGGAGATTTTTATAAACTAAAAATTGAAAAACAAGAAAGTAAGAAACTGAGTGGAGTGGTATAAATGTGCACGACAGTCACTGTGCTAAGTGATTTATGTTCATTATTATAACATTAGTACATCATGACCACTTTATTCATTTTCAGTCTTCATAGATGAAGAAATAGGCTTGGAAAGGTTCAGCAATTTGTTCAAGGTCATGGAGCTAGGAAATAGTGAAATAGTACTGGATATTGGAAGTGAAGAGAGCAGGCCACGCTCCCATTGCTTTGTTAAATGCCACATTTTAAATCTTGATGGTTCCCACAGTGGTTTATGGCATACAATCGGATGTATGATTAATTAATGAGGTATGCTCTACTTTTGCATATTTTTCTTCTTAATTTAAGCAATTTAAGATAAGCACACATCATAAGATAGTATCACAGTTTGTTTCTGAGACACATATACAATCTTGGTTGTATTGCAATGTCTTCACTTTACTACTTTTAGTAGTAAATATTTGTTTATAGATGAGATAATTTATATACAGTTCTGACTGTAGGCCAGGGATAAATTTGGTATTCTTTGAAATTAACTTTCACTTCTATGTAATGAAGTACTATCGAAAGTATTAACTGAGAATTGTATTTCAAGCAAGGGAATCCAAACAAGAACAATTCCTACTACCTTCCACATGACCATTTTTGTGCCATTTTCATTAAAGGGAGTAGCAAAGTATCCCAGTTAATGTTCCACAGAGTTCTTACCATCTCCAATGAGAACAAGAGTAGAATGGCCAGTTGCTCTTCCATCCTGAAGCTGGAAAGTATATGTTCCCTCATCCTCATCCAGGAGCTTGTCCATGAACATTTCAATTATACCAGTGTTTCGGTCAATATGCATCTTATATTTCTTCAATGTGAAAAGGAAAAAAAGAGAAATTAATGAGGTAGATATGATGACAATAAGCCTGATAAAAGAAATACAAACTCCAAAGAATCATAATTTTAATAAAATTTCTTGTTAACGCTTTTTTTAGATGAGCACGTTTTCAAAACCTTGTATCCAGGAAAAGTAAAATATTATGTGGAATATATGACCGTGACCAGAAATGATTACTAAAAGACTGAAATTTAATTTTTAAATATAAATAGAGTTTTGTTATCCCAAGTCACAAAATGTTATCCAAAAGTTGTTTTTAGCTAATCTCTTCACCTTCTTTCATAAAAAAACATATATGCATAACCCATGGTCACAGACAACAGTGTGGTGATGACCAGAGGGAAGCGGGGTGGGGGGGTAAGGGGGGGATGGGAACATCCACAATAGGGTCAACAAAAAAAAAAAATGAAGAATAATTAATTAATTAATTAGAAAGTCCAACATCTCCAAATTTAATTACCCACTGTTAATTATAGCGGCATCTAATAAATCATGTGAGTAAAAAAAGTTTTCTTAGATTTCCATTTCCATTCCAGATTACATTTGTTTTAATTATCAGAATAATACAAAATTAATTATAGGCAGTATGAGGGAAGTATTTGTCTCATTATTGCTATATCCCTAATATCTAGCACATGCATGGTTTGTAGCAGGCAATGAATTAATATGAGAAAAAAGTGCTTCCAAAGCATTTGAAATCCATTGGCTCCTAATGAAATTGCCCTGTTAGACTATGCTTATTTTATCCTGTTGCTTGGGCAACTGTTTTTTCCAGTGTAAAGATAAATCTTAGCCCTTGGGCATACCAGTACAAGTTCCATAATGAATTTGAATTAATACGTTTTTCTATAAAGTGCCCATGAAGACTCAGGTCTGGGATCAACTCTGTGGTGCAATTCAGGTCCTGGAGCCTCCCCCAAGGAAGCCAGTCTCCAATTGAGATCACTTTTTGCTTAGCTTTCTTCTACCTTCTTTGTTTCCCTGACCCTCTACTCCTGAGAGTACTTCCCCGTAAATCACTTGAAACTCTACTTCAGAATCTCCTTCTAGAAAACCTGACCTAAGACAGTATTTTCCACCCAATAAAACAGTATGATTAGAGCCTAATGCAATGACAATAAACTGTGTGTGCATGCAGCAACATGTAAACATGTGTGAGCACATGACAGGGAGTGGGTCTCTGCACACATGTGCACGAGTGTTCCCTCAATGGCTGTGGTGGCACAGAGTGGTGCCAACAAAGTTTTTCCTTCCTTTCTACTGGCCAGGTGGTGATCACAGCAGTTTATGAGAACATTTGAAAACAGGGAAGAGATGGGCCATGGTGGACCAGTATCTACACACAATTACCGTATGAGTTGAAAAAGAATAAAATGCATACCCATCTACTCGTTATAATACTCATTCTTCCCCTCACTAATGACCCCTCAAATGTTTCAAAAACATATCTTGATCAGAGGAGAATAGGTTGTTAATAGTGGCCACAAACCATATCTCTCCCCTGTCTTTTCAGTCTCCCATTTACACCCATGGTAACATAGGTGAGAGCCAGGGCCCCTAAACCCACGTTTTTCAGTCCCACCAGGCACTGGCCGGATCCTGGCTCTACTGATGTCTGGAGAGGACAAATAAAGCATAGATGTTGTCATTCTTTCTATGGAAACTATGCTTATGTTAAAAGCGAAGAAGTAGATATAGATATACACAATCACCTATGTAAATAAGATACGAATGGACATATACACACAGATGTATAGAAAAAGACCAAAAAGTACATACCAATATGTACATCAAAAAGTTATAAAAATTTGTGACTTGTTCTTTCTAAATCTTTAAAGTTTTTTACAATAAGGATGTATTGCATTTTTAACCAGAAAAGCAATAAATATATTTTACTGCAGTTTTTTTCTGAGCCATTGAAACAATTGAGGCCATTTCCTCCATATAAAGAACCAAGTCCCTGCTGGGGGTTCTGATGTGAGTATGTGAGTTTGGGTCAGGGTGCTGGCTCCTCTGCCTTCTAAAGGGAGCAGCTCTATTTCATGGGTGATTAAACTTCCTGATTTGCCTGAGACAGTTGTGTTTTATGACTCTTGTCCTGGGAAAATTACTAGTATCCTCTTTCATTCTCAAAAGTGCTCCACTTTGGATAGTATGAGACAATCAATTTATGTTTTTCTCTGCATTTTTCACATGTGAAATTTAGACTCCCCACCCCACACCTAGTGGTTTTCATAACAACTTACCTGCATTCTAACGGGCTCCCCCAGCACATTCTATAATAATATGTTTAGAAATCTAGAAGTGTAAAACCTACCGGCCCTTCAAAAATCTCCTTTTCATTAAATACGTAGTTGACTTTGGCATTGCCAGACAGCTTCTCAGCCTGCATCCAAAACCGGACCTGACCTTTCTCCAAAATTTCAACTGCCAAATCTGATTTAACTGCGACAGCTATGACAAATAGAAATAATAATTATATTGGTAACCAATTTTATTGACACAGATTCTTCCAACAAGTGAAAACACACTCAATGGAAATGGCAATGGAGCACCTTGCTTCTTGAAAAGCCTGGAGGCAGTGAGAGTGTTGGAGGGAAAGCATGGCATGGAAGGATGGAAGACCTGGGTTCTAATTCTGACTGTCACTCTGGGCAAGTCATCTGCCTTCCCTGAGGCGCAGATGTCTCCACTGTAAAAATGCAGAGGATGAACTTGCACCCTGAGGCCTTCAGTTAACCTTTGTGACTCTCTACTGTGGCTTTGGCTATGTATACCTGGTATGTAGGGACGAAAACAAAGTGCAATGAAAAGAGTCTTGAGCTGGCCCCAGGAGAGCTGGAGCCTAGTCCAAGGTCAGCTACTATCAAGCTGTGATATTAGGCCATTTTGTATATCTGGGCCTCATTCAATTCATTTATAAATGAATGAAATTGAACTGAAAGTCCTAATTAGTCAAGATATTCTCCTGTTTCACCATTCTGTGATCTTAGAGTTACTTCAAAATATTTGGAAAGGAGTTCAATTTTATTTTTTCAACAATTTATCTCCCTCTGGAGGTTCTTTAAAATGTTTTTAAAAATAAATTTTAAAAAGAATTAATTTTAATTATATATATAAGATGAACCTAGCTTGTCATTTAAACCCTACCTAACCCCCATGGTATACCAGTTCAAGTTCTCAGACCAAGCAAAAAATTTCAGAGGCAAATAGCGAGTCACTATCGAGAAGCTACATTAAAATATCACATGGATTACCTCACAAAGAAAGTGAAAGAACCATGTATCTCTGATTTATACTTGTATCACTTAAGCCATTTGAGTCTGAGTGAAATTTTAGAAGTTGGCTGACATCTCTTAAAACTAGTTTCTAAATTTCCTGTAATGTGAAAATGTTCTCTACAAAGCCTCCTTCAGTCGATAGTACTGTACTAGAGGTGGCTCCAGGGCATACTTTGCAGGAAAAGCATGGTTGTTTCTCAAAGTTTAGTAGTCCTTATACTTCCTTTAGGAGAAATCATCACCCTTAAACAGGAAAAGCATGGTTGTTTCTCAAAGTTTAGTAGTCCTACTTCCTTTAGGAGAAATCATCACCCTTAAATCTATCTCACAATTTTATGTAGCACTACTACATTTTAAATTATAAGCTTCTTAAACTTGTACCAAATGTATATTAATATTTATTTGTATTTATCCTAAAACTACCCTTTTCAAGCTTTAAGGGATGCCTTTTATTTGCACTTTTATATTCACTGTAAAACTCAGTTGTTCCAATACAAAGCTAAAAAGAGGCTCAGACCAAACCTCTACCTTCCATACAATTTTAAAATATATATAACTATTAAGACACCACTCATGGTATTATGTTTCCAGTTTTATGGTGACTAAGCATACAAAAGAGAAATGGTTCTCCCCTGGAATTCAGAAAGTCTGCGTCCTACATTTACACCTTCCTATGCTGCTTTGCTGAACAAAGTTGGTTTTGAGAACATTACAGCTGAGGCCAATAGTCATCAACCTCATCTATCAAGTACCATGATCAATCATTCCTTAGGAATGGAAAAGATACGAGGAAATTGATTTTAGAGCACCAATTTTTAAAAAATTGCAGTCTTATTTGAGAATTTCAGGAAAGCCATACACCCTCTCCCTAGAAAAATTCACATATATAAACATACAAAGTTTTGTCTATAATCTGGGTCACAGTATCGTTTCCTGGTTCTGAAATTCCCATAGTAGTGAAGGAGTTATAGTTTAGGGATTAATGAGTTTAAAAAAATCGTGATGTAACAGAGTGAGCATATGAAATACCTTTCTATTTGTTTTCTCAAACTCTAGTGTGTAACTTTCTGGATAAGTCCCTATTTTGGTCAATAGGTACCAATGACAAGAGATCTTATCAGGCCAGTGGAACTTTCCGAGTGTCATTTCAGACTTCTTTCTCTTCTTTTAGGTGTCAAATGTGAAATTTAATCTTTTATGTGGAAAATGTTTTATTGGAAGGTTTGTAGATAGTTCAGAGAAATTCTTTTTCTGACCAAGGCATCTTTGACTTATTTTTCAGGACTTTAAAGTGATAGGCAGGTAATACCTTTATTTAGAGGTATGATTCTTCTATTAAGTGCCAACATTAAATTGATTAGGAGATTACTTTGCCTAAAAGACACAGGAATTAATGTGCCCAGAAAAAATAAATAATGATTCTAAAATGTGTAGGCAAAAAGAGAACTTAATTATGCAGCTGTTATGCCTATGTAATCTGCCACTTCTCTATGAAACAGAGCATGAAATATGGTTCCTATGTTAGTATTCTCTTCAGCTCTTGAGAACAATGACAAAGATAAAAGCAGCACTTCTAGAAAGTGCATCTGTAGCTATCAAGCTATGTTCCATTATTTGTTCTCTAGAGCCTCTTCTCTTAATCCTGTCAGAGTTGTTATCTGCCCTATTCCAGAAGTCACCACCTACTAGGATTGCTAAACTGTGAAAGTATTGTGGACACTTACTTGGGAACTTGTGCTCTTGGCTGAGAGCAAGTAAACGTTTCAACTCTGTAGGGAGAAAAAAAGAACAATTAAACCTTGAATTACTAAAACAAACATCACTTGATGTTTGAGAACTCAAAAGCAGCTTGGACTTGTGAATGAACTGGCTTTAAACTTACCTTCCTCATCTATCAAGTAGCTTGCTGCTATTCCATCAGTTTCTGTTACATCACAGGAGTAAATGCCCAAGTCTTCCATCCCGAGTTCTTTGAAGGTAATTTTTGTCCTTAAGAACAGAATATTTTTGTAATAAATGACTCCACATGGCATCTGGGGACCTGGGTCCTGCATTGTTTCTAGGCATTTGCACATGCTACCCCCTTCCTTTGGAGTCCTTATTGACCTAGTCATTCTTGCTGTTTCTCGAAGTCTTTCCTGACATTTTCCTAGGGGTGATGGTGATCAGAGTGGGGAGCTGGTACAAATTTCCCATCCCCAAGCTATGCTCCATACCTATACACATGTCAAATAAAGACAATTTTAGCTGATCAGCCTTGCTAGGGAGCCTGGGTCCCCCCTCTGGCCTCCCTGCAACAGGGCAGAACCTGCTGTTGGTAATTCTGGTGCCTGAATTGTCATCCCCTGAACTTCCCTTTTTGAGGCAATCAAACATTCATTGGTAGTGCCTATTTCATTATCTCTATGACTTGTGCTTTTAGGAAGGAGATCTATTTTGCTTACTGTTGTATCCTCCAGCATCCAGTGCCTTCTCTGGCACATAATATGTGCTTAATAAATATCTGTGGAATGAATCGGTCAGTGGTCTAGTTCACTGTGTTTTCTAACTTTGGTGAGTCATATTGCTAGACAGTGTCTAAGATGAACCAAGTATTCAAATGTTAGTCAAGTGCACAAAGTGGAAGAAAAACTTATAGTTTGATTATCTTTTCTTGGGCCAATGTATGTTTTACTTCAAGGACTTTACAGCATAGCAACAGTAAAATGTCTTTTAATTATATTCTTGCCATTCTCTAATAAAATTACTATTTTTAAATTTTTGATATATATTGGGGTACTTTATAATAGAAATAATACTTGGGAATATTTTGCAATCCCGTGTGGTTGGTATTATAAAGATATACACCTGGGTAAGTGAGGCAAAGTGAAAAGAACACTCAGACGCTTGGGGCTAAGAGGATTAGATCATAAAATCAATCTCCTTCACTCCCACCCGTTCTACAGAAAAGTAAGCGGAGGTTCGTGGAAATTAACTCCAGGTCACACAGCCAGCTCCTGGCAGAGCTGGAACTAGAACTCATCTATTCTGTGCTTCCCACATAGAGTTCTTTCCAGTGCATTACTGTGTCACCCACAAGTGGTGGTGAAAAAAGCAGAGCAGGTTATCCCTCCCCCGTTTAATTTTCCCTAACTTGAATTGGCAAACAGAAAGTTCTTCCTTGCTCCCTCCCCATAAGCATCCTCACCATTACTTTAAGATTTCAAAATCTGTAGAATAATGAGAATCATTTTTAAAGCTTACTTTTAAGTCAATCAAAGCTCTTCTAATACCATAAATGAGACAGCACTTTGAATGAAATAATGTGAAAAGTACTTTATAAGGATTTCTTTGTTGTTGTTTTTTGTTAATTCTCACCCATGGATATTTTTTCCTTTGCTGTTTTTAGAAAGAGTGAAAGGGAAGGGAGTAGGGGGAGACACAGACACACACACACACACACAGGAAGGGAGTGAGAGGGAGACACACACACACACACACACACACACACACACACACACACACACACACACACACATCGATGGTTGCCTCCCGCATGCACCCCAACCGGGGCCAGGGATTGAACCTGCAACCCAGGTATGTGCTCTTGACCTATTGACTGGGAATTGAACCTGGTATCCTTTGCTGTATGGGCTGACACTCTAACCACTTAGCAAAACCAGCCAGGGCAAGGTTTGCTATTTTTTAAGGTTTATACTGATTATTACTTTTTATATTACATACCAGATATAAAATATTTGTGATTCATCTCTTTATACTATTTGAAATGGAAAGCAAAGAGCTTACTTCACCCTCCTATTATGAAAAGGAAACCCATGGTTATAACTGAAACAGTCCATACTTGTTTCCTTTGCTTTCAACTTCCAAACGTGCAGAGTCCTCAGTGGCTACATAATCTTTGGACCAGGTGAACTCAGAATTTGGAGCCATCTGATCACACTCAAAGTTCAAGGAAATGATTCCATCATCATTCACACTTACAACAAGCTCTTTGGTTCCTAGAAGAAAAAGAAGAAGAAAAAAGAGGCACTGATATTTTCTGGTAAAAATCGACCAAGAATTCCTTGATATCCTTTACTATAGCCTTAAAGCAGGGCTTTGAGCTTGTGCAGGGAAAAGCCCCAACTGCTCACTGTGACTGACATTTTGTTCTACAATTCAGCTTTTATACTGTAACAGGGAATTAAATAAAGTGTCATGTTTGGCCAGGGCTGAATAAACACTAGGTGATGTGACTGATGGCTCAGTTATGGGAGTGGGCTGATCATAAATAAGGAGGGAAAGGCAGCATTGGGAAAAAGGAAAGTTGAATGATCCTCATCAGGACTTAATTCATGACTTTGCGTTAGAAACACCTATATCCAACTCATCATCAGTAAAGGATAGATAAGAGATAAGAAAACCAAAGAGAAATTGAAGAGGAGAAAGTAGAGGCGCTAAGAATTGTCTATAGTCACATGTTCAAATTTTGTAGATCATTTAAGAATGGAGAAATAGATGAAAACTTGTTCCGCTGATCAGGCAACCATAAATCAATCTGAAGATGCCCCTCTGGATGGGAACAACAGCAACTTAGAAATGACTGCTATGAAACTGTACGGAAATTTAAATGGAAACAAATTTCAAGAGACTCATATGTTTCAAGATTGGCCTTTAGAATTCAAAAGAAAACAATTCTGTTCATGTTTTGACTTCTTTTATTTTTGAGAGTTATACTAAATTGCACCTGCATGTAATATAGCAATTCAAAGAGAGTTTGTACAGCATGTAAAATGTTCACATCTACATCTAAATCCAGTTTGAAAGGTAAAATGCTCTTTTTAAATTGACATGCATTCAATTACCAGTCTAAACGTGGTATTTACATTCTCACAGTGAGAATGTAAATCGGAAATATTCTATATATTTGTATTGTTATGAAGAGGGAAAGAAAGCAATGGAAGTTATCTAAACCTTTCTTGCTATTTGTATAAAGCCCATTTTGAAGGCATGGCAATTGTTCATATTAATCATTCATTGCTTATCTGTAATCCCTTTTAAAAGGAAGTGAATCACCCATATGATTGCTGTTTATTATATTAGAGGTACGCCTTAAGTTTACAACAGAAAAAATATTGCTTAGGTTAAGAATCTTGTTTTTTACTAAGTCAAACATTTGACTTTTCTGGCAAAGGAGTCACAAAACTTAAAAACTAGAAACAATTTAATTAGCTTAGCCTTTCTCTCAATTCCATAGATAACCTTTGCGCTCTAATACTTCACCCATCTGGAATATTTCCCAAAACCAAGAAGTAAGGAAAACAAGCCTCTAAGAGCTAGTGCTGATGTGACAAAGTCCACACATTAGTAATATTTCTGGAAACTCACTGGAGAACTCCATAGGTTGTCACTTGGAATCTATACTTAGCTTGAGATGATTATAACAAGCCTCATTGGTTGGTTTCTCTCAGTAGATTAAATTCCCAAAAGAGATAGAAGTAAGATGCTACTATTAACAGGCACACTGAGAATAAGGAACATGACAGCAGGAGAGGAGACAGAAAACGAAAAAGCAGGCCCAAAGACATTATAGCAAGTTTTAGATTAAAATTTATAATTTAAAAATAAGTGATTGTCGGGAGAGTCAAAAGATGTAATGTCAACTAGTACATAAGAGAGTTTTTCTCATCTGTGAAGCTTTTCTTGATCAATCAGGTCAAATCAGCACATTGTAGACAATATAGTGGATCGGAAAGAGAGGCATGAATATTTCTCCAATTTGTGCACAAAATTGTGGCTCTGATGAGTGCTATTGGTTGATTTATTTAAACTATATTTAACACTTCAGTTTTAAAAATCAAATACTTATTAAGATGAGTATTTCATTAGATTTTCACTTCTCAAAAACTTCACTGGTTGATTATTTTATTGAGTATAGGGTTAAATTCTACAAGAGTAGGGATTTTTTCTTCCATATTTTCCATATGTATTTATATGTGCCAGGGATTGGATTGAAAAAAACAGATTTAAAAGAAAAATGTCAGTTTAGAATTGCAACATTTATTTATTGGAACTTGTTTTCAAAACTTGAGTGTAAAAGCAAAATTTTGATAGATAAAATGAAAGTCGCAATAAAGAAAACATTCTAGGCACAGTGGGTTTCCTACTTAATTTTATACTCAGAATGCAAAGTTTGATTTCCTCTTTGACAAATCAATGATGCTGTCAACTTGTTACACGACAGCTCCCTGAGTGTGTGTGGAGGGCTCTCCCCTTCTCTATGGCTCTTGTCACTCTCATGAGAGGAATTCAGGCGAATGACATAAAGCAGCATCGAAGCAAGGCAAGTGAATTTATTAAAGAAGCAAAGCAAGCCAATTTATTAAAAATATACTTGGCATAAAGCACAAGTGGGCAACTCAGCTGGGCTGAGTGTGCCCTCCTGTGGAGGTTCAAGGGGTCTTACACCCTTCCTTCTATAGGTTTCAAAGTCCCCTGCCAGATATCTTGGGTAGCAGACTAGGTTTCGAAGTTCTCTTCTACATTGTTGGGGCTTATCTTGGAATGTTTGTACATACATCTGGTTATCTTGTTCTAAGCCGGCTGAGTTTTTTGCTTAGTGGGTGAGATAAAATTCCCACTTCTTTTCCCCTTCCCCACTTTGCTGCCCTAGCAAATATCTATTCTGCCTAACATTCCTCAAGTGATATTTGTCCTTGGGTTTAGCTGGCACAAATATCATTAATTGGATCTTTGTTCTCTATTTTCCCAGAACAGGGTGATTTAAGCTATGTATTATCTGGTTAGGGAGGAGAGGTATAAACCATTTGCTCTCAAGTGTCCTTGGTTGGGGAAGATAAGGTCTTTTGATTCACGAGCTGCCTGTAAGCTCTCCAAACTGTTTGGCCTTGTTTAATTTTCTTGTCTCAGTTTTCCCATTCCACTTGCCCAGGAATTTTTCTAGTTTCTTACTATCCTGCCACAAACTGGCCGAAAATATCATTCTAAAAATAATATAATCAGAATCTCAAAACTTTGAAAAATCAAATTTACTGAAAATAATTGCAATATTAGTTATTTAAGCATATTTCTTGAACTCCAACAATTCTCATTAGAAAATAATGTTTAGTTAGAATAACTTAATACTGTATTGTAGAGAAAGAATGCAGTTTCAATACTATCTCTGTGTAAACATAAGACAATGTTATTGGGTTATTGTCTTAAAAATGGTCAATGCAAAAAAAATGGTCAATGCTACAAGCTTGTTGCCTATTTGTCACATGAATTACAATGCTGATGCTATCAGACTCTTTAAATAGGCTTTTCAAATTCAAAAAGTTCTGTTATTAAGTTTTAATTAATTTGTTAACATAATTCTTTGAATAAAGGTGCTATTTTTTATTTTTTAAAAATATATTTTTATTGATTTCAGAGAGGAAGGGAGAGGGAGAGGGAGAGGGAGAGAAACATCAATGATGATGAGAGAGAATCATTGATTGGCTGCCTCCTGCATGCTCCCTACTGTGGATGGAGCCCAAAACCCAGGCACATGCCCTGACCAGGAATCAAGCTGTAACCTTTGGGTTCATAGGTCGACACTCAATCACTAAGCCATGCTGACTGGGCAATAAAGGTGTTTTTAAAGAGTGACTTAGTAGACCAAGTATTTTACAATAATACCTAGAATGAGAAATTGGAGTTGCATTTGGAAAAAAAGGTAGACCCTTCTTGCATTCTGGGTATTTTTGGAAATACTTTAAAACTATTTGAAACAACAAAGAATAAATGAGAAGAGTTTAAAGAAAAAGACATTTCTTGGAAAATTTTAAAGTAGACTAAAAATTTAAAAAATGAGCTCAGAGTTTTTTGTATCTGAAAAGGAAAGACATGTTGGATTGTAGATTTCTCTTTGTATAATAAAGACAGTGTATATGTTAATCTGGAAGGACCAATTTTTCCACATATTAAAATCTCAGAGAAGTTAATTAGTAAGATTCCTTAAATAACGGGGTACTGGATGCAGAGTGGGCAAAAAATTATATTCCAATTTTACAAAAGATATATAATACACTATTCAAATGAATGGTTCTTTTTATAAACACTTAACGAAAAAAAAAGTGAATTAATGTAATCAGTTACAAGTAATACTGGGCTCCCCTATATTTAAGAGGAGGACTGCTGGCTGACCCACCACTTTGCTTCCATATTGCAGCCCCTGTTGATGCTTCTCTCCCAGCTTCTCTTCCAGCTTCATGACCAGGGTGTTCATTACAAGGTATCTAGCGTTCAGTATACATGCTGTGGCTTCAAACCAGAGTCACACTCACTGACCTAAACATGGTAGTCATTCATTAGTTTTTCATTTAATAAGTGACTACTATACACCAGGTACTAGGTTCTCGGCATATAGAGAGTAAAGACAGTTTCTATTTTGAAGGAGGCCATAGTTTACAAGCCAGTTTCATGCTGTAATGTTTACCCAAGGAGCTAAACAAACAAGCAAACAAACAAACAAAAATGAAACTGTGCCCAGGCTCAGTACTGGAGATTCTGATATAATGGCCTGGAATGGAGTCTGGAATGCAGGCAGTATTTTCAGAAAGTATTTGCATGATTCTAACACACAGCCAAGGTTGGGAAGTACTGTTTTAATGGATGAAAGAGACCAGTGATTAAGCAAATACAAGTGCAGTTTTCTAAATCAGTTGACCTAATCTTTAATAGTAAGCCTGGCTTCCTCCTTCAGAATCCTTCAAGACCACCATTAGGCCACTGAGCACATATTTACATTCGGAGCCCTACCATGTTCTATGACTAACCAGTTTTTAGAAACTGGGATTGGTTAGTGGGATGTCAGCCCAATCCCAGAACATTATTTCATCTGGTGCTGTGTTCTTCTAACCTGCCTTGCTCTAGGTGACCACGTCCTAATTTCCAGTAATCCAGTTTCTGCTTGGGACTCTGCCTTGTGTCTGGGTTCTTTCGCCCATCACCTGAAGCCTCCTGCCCAGTGCTGTTTCTCTGCTAAGAATAGCTGTAGCCTGTACTGCCAGTTATTTGTTGCCCTCCAGATCACCTGCCACACCTTGGCAGGTCTCTTTCTTGTCTCCCGTCTGATCTGGCTCACCTTGCTTCCATCTCCATCTCACCCTAGGCCTGATGTAATCAACCCAGATACTGTTTGATAAATATCAAATATCAAGAATAGAAGTGCCTGTCATGTACCAACAAATATACACTAAATAATTTTCAGCTTATTCTTCTTGTAAGTACTTTTTAGCTAATAGATTTCTTGGTAGAACATGGCACAGTCCATTTTCTAGATCCTCATTACTATTAGATTTTGTGCCAGTGGCTGAGCTATTTCTACTGGCATCTTAGTTGACATCAAAGGGATACCCGTGATCCTACAAACCCAGTGGATTAGGTTAACTTTTAAGTGGAATTCAAATTACACTTGAGGTGTCCTGTTAGTTGTATTCAGGGTTTGCTGTTACATGATAAGCTTTATTTTCTATCAGAAATTTTAATAATGCATTCCAAAAGAAGTCGTTCTTCTGAAATAACAATATGGGTTTTATATCCCAAATCTTGAAATTGATAACATGCTCCCCACCTCTTCCCATCCATTCTAACATAAAATAAATATCTGGTTAAAAGTAATATATTAGCATTTAACAAAATTAACAAATACAGACAACCTTATACTACATATAAATTTTTACAAGGAGTTATAAAACTTTAATACCTAGCTCATGGCCTTTTCAGCTATAGGAAATATTTTATGAACATCTATCTAGCTCTCACATGTTGTAAACTCTGGCTTTTCCACCAGATCATAAGCCTAGTATACATGACAAATGCCACATTACTCTACTTCTGGTGTCCACACCACATCTCAAAAATCACATGTTGCAAGAATGAATGTGCCTGCTACATATGGAACAAGTCCAAGTGTCTCCTGGGTCTTGGTGCTTCTTCATGGCAAAACATTTTGACTTTGTGCACCCCAGGATTCTTTTCTAGGCTGGGATCCAGTGGTTCCCAAGTGGGGTTAATCTGGTGCTATTTTGTGATAATGTCTGTAGCTGTTGTTTGTAGTTACATTCTGGGGATGGAATGGCCATACCAAAATGACTTTTGGTGCCTATTCCAAATCAATGAGACAAAACTCTACCCAGGAGCCCACCAGCAGATCCTTTTTTGGTGGTAAATTTTTCATAGTGAAGGCTTCATTATGGCATGCATGGTCACCTACCACTCTGAAGCTACTGATGAGAAAATAATAAATCAATTTAAGCTTTCTTCAGCCAATTGGATTTGGATTCCGGTGCTTAAAGTGACTAGATTAAGAGTTTAATTTACCCATGACTAGATTAAGAGTTTACTTTTATAGTAGTTTCAATGTTCTACTTACAGGGATAGACTCTGTAGTTGGGTCCTTTTACATGTCCATTTGCCACCTTATATTTCCTCCTAGTTGGCACATGAAGGATCTGATTTCTATAGGAATATGTGTGCTGGTGTCTTTGTGTATTCCCTTTTACTGGAATATATGTTCCTAGCATTTTTTCTGTTTTCTTGTGAAATTTTGCAAAGGGGACTTATAGAGGTATGGCACTCTCACCAGCACACTTACCACACTTTGTTATAAGGTCACTTCTGTCCCACCTAGCTCTAGAGAGAAGTAATAAGAATAGTTGAAAGCAGGTTATGAATAATAGGATGAAAAGGACAAATACTTCCTTCAAAGGGTACATTTGAGGTACTCTCCATATAACCAAGTGAGAGCAGAGTTTTCTGTGTTTACATTGTTTTCTCATCATAAAAATAAATACTACATTATTTATCTGCTCTTTATTTCCATCTGAAAATAAGGATAAATTAAAGTGTAACTGCTTGGATTAGAATGAATATAAACTTAAAATAACTGGTTAATATTTTTTTATCCTCTCTCATTTCTAGTGCTTTCTCTTATGCAACTTTAATGAACTAAAATATATAACACTGAAAAGTGATAGAGGTTAAATGACAAAGCAAACAATTATTATATATTGATTTGAAACTATTTGCACAGTGAACACTATAGACTTTGTTCCCATAACAAAGGGAAAGACTGTCTTGCCTAGTCCAATCCTAACAGCTCTTAAAACTGTGAAGTGAGGGCTGCCTCAACTCTATAGATCATTCAGTCAGGCCTGCTGTTAGTTTAACCCAGGGGTCGGCAAACTATGGCCTGTGGGCTAAACATGGCCCATTGCCTCTTTTTTTATGGCCTGCAAGCTAAACATGATTTTTACATTTTTAAACAGTTAAAAAAATCAAAAGAAGATTAATATTCCAGGACATGTGAAATTATTGAAAATTCAAATTTCACAATGCATATAATACATTGTATTATATAATGCATATAATGCGCACAAGAAAGTTTTCTTGGAACATAGCCATGCTTACTAGTTTATGCACTGTCTATGGCTGCTTTTGAATATTGCAACAGGAACCAGGTGGCCAGAGAGTAAAAAATATTTACTATCTGGTCTTTCACAGGAAAAGTTTGCTGACCCCTGGTTTAAACTAATTTAAAAATCTTGCTGTTTAAGAATTGTGATTGCTAACTGCTGTTCTAGCTTTCCCTATGATTGGAAAAACATTCTTGTGGATTTTATGACCATGGTATAATAGGAATAATGTCCCAGGAATGTATGCTTCAAACAGTCAGTCCAGGACTCATAATTTGATCAAGAACATCCCTGTTTTTAGGTATGAACCAGAATAGCCCTGGACCATCTCAAACCTGGCTAAGCCCTGTACTGAGGCTCCTATGATGTGGTAATGACTGTCATGCCTAAGGTAATACTTAGCAACTATTCAAATACCCATATATTGATGATTTTGAAAACTAGGGAAAGCACAGAAAGTTAGGTTGAATGTTACTTTGGTATCTTACACATGAAAGAGCAAAAGCCCACCTGGTCGAGTTTCTGCCACAACAGGCCCAGCAAGGTCGGACGGCTTGCCAACACCTGCCTGGTTTATGGCTCGGACGCGGAACACATAGCTGACACCCTCCTGGAGGCCTTGCACCTGGAAGAAACAGGTATAAATACAATGGGCATTTTGTGTCACTTAAACATAAGTGCTCTTCCTCTGTAATAACAATTTATAGTTGACCCTTGAACAACATAGATTTGAACTGCATGGGTCAATTATGCGCAAAGTTTTTCTTTCTTTTGAAAAATATATTGAATTTATGATTGGTTAATAAATTATATAGGTTTCAAGTATACAATTCTACAATACATCATCTATATATTGTATTGTGTGTTCTCCATCCAAAGTTAAGTCTCTTTCCATCACCATTTATCCCCTTTGCCTTCTTCTATCTCCCCCCATACCCTTTTCCCTATGGTAGTCATCATATTGTTGTCTATGTTTATGAGTGTTTTGGGTTGTTTTTTATTTTTTTGCTTAATTCCTTCACCTTTTTCACCCAGCTCCCCAACCCTTCTACCCTCTGACGGCTGATAGTCTGTTTTCTGTATCTATGAGACTGTTTCTATTTTTTGTTTGCTTATTTTGTTCATTAGATTACACATATAAGTGAAATCATATGGTATTTGTCTTTCTCTAACCAGCGTATTTCACTTAGCATAACACTCTCCAGGTCAATCCATGCTGTTGCAAAAGATAAGATTTCTTCCTTTTTTTACAGTAGTATTCCATTGTCTAAATGTACCACTGCTTTTTTATCCACTTATCTACTGATGGGCACTTGGGCTTCTTCCAATACATGGCTATTGTAAATCACACTGCAATGAACATAGGGGTGCATATATTCTTTTGAGTTAGTGTTTTGAATTTCTTCAGATACATTCCTAGAAGTGGAATTGCTGGGTCATAAGGCAGTTCTATTTTTAATTTTTTGAGGAACCTCCATACTGTTTTCCACAGTAGCTATACCAGTCTGCATTCCAACAGTGTACAAGGGTTTCCTTTTATCCACATCCCGGCCAACACTTGTTTGTTGATTTATTGATGATAGCCATTCTGACTGGTGTGAGGTGATATATCCTTGTGGTTTTAATTTGCATTTCTCTGATGATTAGTGACACTGAGCATCTTTTCATGTGTCTATTGGCCATCTGTATGTCCTCTTTGGAGATCCTTTGCCCATTTTTTAATTGGATTGTTTGTTTTCTTGGTGTTGAGTTGTATAAGTTCTTTATAAATTTTGGATATTAATCCTTTATCAGATGTATCACTGATGAATGTGTTCTCTCATTCAGTGGGTTGTCTTTTCATTTTGTTGTTGGTTTCCTTTTCTGTGCAAAAATTTTTAATTTGATGTAGTCCCATTTATTTTTTTATTTTCTTTTGTTTCCCTTGCCCAAGGAAATATATCAGGAAAAGTATAAATGTCTGAAATTTTCCTGTCTATGTTTTCTTCTAAGATTTTTATGGTTCCAAGTCTTACATTTAAGTCTTTAGTCCATTTTGAATTTTTTCTTGTATGGTGTAAGAAGATTCTGTAGTTTCTTTTCTTTTCTTTTCTTTTCTTTTCTTTTCTTTTCTTTTCTTTTCTTTTTTGCATGTACCTGTCCAATTTCCCCAGCACCATTTATTGACTGTCTTTACCCCATTGTGTGTTCTTGCCCCCTTTGTCAAATATTAAGTGACCATAGACGTATGGGTTTATTTCTGGACTCTCTATTCTGTTCCATTGATCTGTGTGCCTCTTTTTGTGCCAATCATAGGCTGTTTTGATTACTATGGCCTTATAATATAGTTTGATATCAGGTAATGTGATACCTCTAACTTTGTTTTTCTTTCTCCAGATTGCTGAGGCTATTTGGGGTGTTTTGTGGTTCCATACACATTTTGGGAATATTTGCTCTACTTTTGTGAAATATGTCATTGGTATCTTGATAGGGGAATTGCATTGAATCTATAGATTGCTTTCTTTGGGTAGTATGGACATTTAAATAATCTCAATTATTCTTATTCATGAACAGAGTATTTGACTTCACTTATTTATATCTTCTTCAATTTCTTTCTTCAGTACCTTATAATTTTCTAAGTATAGGTCTTATACATCCTTGGTTAAATTTATTCCTGGGTATATTTTTGATGAAATTATATATGGGATTGTTTTCTTAGTTTCTTTTTCTTTTTAAAATTATACATGGGATTGTTTTCTTAGTTTCTTAATAATAGTTCATCATTGGTGTATAAATATGCCACTTATTTCTGGATATTCATTTTGTATCCTGCTACTTTACTGAATTCATTTATCAATTCCAGTTGTCTTTTGGTGGAGCCTTTAGAGTTTTCTATATGCAGTTTCATATCACCTGCAAATAATGACAGTTTTACTTCTTCCTTTTCAATTTGGATGCCTTTTATTTCTTCTTTTTGTCTGATTGCTATGGCTAATATTTCCAGTACTATGTTGAATAAGAGTGGTAAAATCAGACATCCCTGTCTTGTTCTTAATCTTAAAGGAAACCCTTTTAATTTTTGCCCATTGAACATAATATTGAATGTGGGTCTGTCATATATGGCCTTTATTATGCTGAGATATGTTTCCTCTACTTGCACTCTGGTTTCAAATTTTAAACCCCCAGATTTTTGTTGTTTAAGAAGATGTTTGTTAAGAAGTTATTACATGTGTGTCACTGACTTAGTGTTATAAGAGTATAAGGGTTATAAAAAAATTAAATATGTTTTTATATGACAGTTCCACTTTATAACTTTTTGTGACTTTCTTTGGGTTCAGCACAATCTTATTACTATTATAAAAAGTGTTACTATTTCACCAAATATTATCTTTTTATTTTTAAAATATGTGATGTTTAAAGCTATATTTCATTTGAAAGATAAATTTATTACACACAGAGGGTGCAATTTTTCCCCATAATGTTGGGATAGAGATCATTATCCAAAATGTGATTTAAATCAAACAAAACTAGAATATATTTATTCAACTAAGCAAAGTGTTTGTGACTATTCATTTAAATGAGCTATGTGTTAAATCATTAGGATTTTAATCTAATAATTTAATTGTATTGTGTTTATGATGATGGAATGTCACGATGTAGTGATATCTTTCACTGTAGCTAATAGAGTTTTAAAGTGAATTT